AACCCCCCTTTAAAAAAAAAAAAAAAGGTAAAACAACGATGTAGGACGATTTTGAAGTTGGAGGAGAAAAGTGTTGGGAGTTTTTAGACATACCCTGTCTTGAACCGTTGTATACCGACAGAGTGCGCATGTTCCTCGCAGAGCTAGACAAGACGAGCATTTGTGGTTAAAAAGTGTATAAATATTATTTTTAAGAAAATGACTGATCGTTTTGCTAGATAAGACCCTTATTCCTCGGCTGGGATCGTGTAGAGCCCTTTGAAGCTGCATTTTTAACCTTTAATCCGTTGAGCACCACTGAAGTCCACTAATATATGGAGAAAAATTAATCGTTGAGCGAACCGTTTGGGAGTCGTTGAGCAAAAAATGAAAAAAATAAATGCATATTATAAGACAATTAAAGTGTTTTGTTTTGTTTTTTACCTTGCATGCATGTCAACCTGTTGTTGGGGACTCCCAAAACCAAAATATGAACCTTTCATAAGCCATAATAGGGGCACTTTAAATTAACTGTTTTCTATGTTAATATATTTTATAATGTAATTCATTCATGTGTTTCAAAGCTGAATTTTCAGCATCATTACTCCAGTCTTCAGTGTCACATGATCCTTCAGAAATCACTAATATGCTGATTTGCTGCTCAAGAACATTTCTGATTATCAATATTGAAAAGTTGTGCTGCTTCATGTTTTTGTTGAAAGTTTGATAATTTTCTTTGAACAGTAAGCTCAAAAGAACAGGATTTATTTTAAATAGAAATCTAGCATTATAAATGCCTTTACTGTCACTTTTGACTAATTAAATGCAATAAAAGCATTTATTTCTTTAAAAAATCTTACTGATCCCAAACTTCTGGGATTAAAACCCGTTACCTTGGCAGCACTAACACCAAGCTTTACTGTTTGAGCTACACAAATATATCATTTGACTTTAAGTAAATGCTGTATTAAAATTGTCCATCTTTATTGCAAACAATGCAACATTCAGGACAAATGGAACTGACCTGGTGATGTTAAAAACTTTATTTTTTTTCCTCTTGTAAACACGACCTCTCAAAACGGTTACAGGCAAAAGACAGAATAAAGAAAACGTATCAAATAAGACATTTCCAGATGTTCTGAAGAAAAGCAGCAAGAGGCAAAAGTAAATTCATCTCTGGTGACTATTTTTGCAGTTCATGCGCTTCAAAGAGTTAGAAAACAGTGCCGCCAAATGTTATTGCTCTATAAACTTCAAATCCCATTGTGAAAGACTACAAAATCTGTTACAGTGAATGTGACAATAGTACAATTCCAGTTTTGCACTTTGGAAAAAGCGGTGGGTTTTGGAGCTCCATTTATACAATGCAAAAAATATGTCGTAAAAACAGGCTTCAGTTGCTTTACACAATATAGTTTCTTATTTCCTTTCCTTTTGATTTTGTGATGAAATGTGACCAAAAGTAGTAAGTTTTACTAAGATGCACCCATAAATTGTTCCAACTCGGTGTTTAAAGAAGCTCTAAACATTCAGGACCATTTAAAGTGGAAATCCATCGACAAAATGTGACCTTCCACAATCACGTTTCAGAGCTTCCCTAAGCACTGCAAGACATCTGAACATGTGATATTACAATCATGGGTGTGTCAGGGCATCAGGAATGCCAGAATACTGCTTAGCAATGCAACTACATTCAATTACGGTAATGTGATACTCGTGCGGTATTCACTTAGTAGTGTGCATCACAGGCAGTGTGGAATGTGACAATCCAGATTCACACCTAGAAATCCAATCAGTTACTGGGCTGAGAGTTCTGCACGAGGGGGCGTCTTTGAAGCTGTGTGTTCCGGTGGGTGTGGTCAGCGGGTGCGGTGGGCGTGGCTCAGGCCTGCAGGTACTCCGGCTGTACCCGCGCGACCTTGCGAAACTCTTTGGCGTGTGTGCGTGGACACTGCATCTCACACCAGCTGATGGGCACCATCTGAGCGCCTGCGGGAAGAGATTTCAGACCGTGATGAACAATTAACATTTTGAGTTAACTATTCATAAATACAAATGTCCTAACTTTCAGGTTATCCAAGGTGTAGATGAGTTTCTTCATGGGAACAGATTTGGAGAAATGTAGCATTGCATCACTTGCTCACCAGTGGATCCTCTGCAGTGAATGGGTGCCGTCAGAATGAGAGTCCAAACAGCTGATAAAAACATCCACAAGTAATCCACACACCACTCCAGTCCAACAGTTAACATCTTGAGAAGTCAAACGCTGCATGTTTGTAAGAAACAAATCCATCATTAAAGAGTTTTTACTTTAAACCATTTACTTCCAGCTAAAATATGAGTCCTCTATCCATGATATTGCTTACTGCAGTGAAAAAAAGTAATCTTGCCTGAATTAGGAGAAAAATATGTACAGATCAAGCACTGTTTACAGTCCAAAACAGCTCTAAACAAATGTCAGTGGATTTTGATATGAGAGGACAACAGGGGATGGACTTCAATGGAGGAAGCGTTATTATGGATTATGGACAGCTCTACAAATATGTCAGTGGATTTTGATATGAGAGGACAACAGGGGATGGACTTCAATGGAGGAAGCGTTATTATGGATTATGGACACATATTTTTTTACCAGAAGCAACGGTTTAAAGTTAAAACGCATTAACGACAGATTTGTTTCTTACAAACACGCAGCTTTTGGCTTCACCAGACATTAACTGATGGACTGGAGTGGTGTGGATTATTGTGATGTTTTTATCAGCTGTTTGGACTCTCATTCTGACGGCACCCATTCACTGCAAGAGGATCCATTGCTGAGCAAGTGACGTAATGCTACATTTCTCCAAATCTGTTCCCATGACGAAACAAACTTATCTACATCTTGGATGGCCTAAGGGCAAGTACATTTTTCAAATATTTATTTTGGGTGAACAATTCCTTTTCCAATTCCAAGTGCATGCTATTTGAACGCTCCCTCACCCGCCTCGCTGTGGGCCACAACTACGCCCAACTCGTTCTCTGCTGTGGTCAGCAGGTAGTTCGACTGCACGTCGCCCAAAGAGATCTGACATCCGAGGTCAAGGGTCATGAGCAACACATCCATGACAAAAGGAAAACTGCTTTTCATAGAGCATAAAGGATACCACTTTTGCAAGGACAATGTCGCCTGGCCTGAAGCTTTTGTACGTCTCCACCTGAAAAGAGCAATTCAATACATGACATTTTAACCCCCCTACACACTTTTTGAAAAAGGGTTACATATTGGTTGTTTGCAGATATTTCTGTACAATTTTTGATAGCATTATCATCTTTCCCATGCACTTTTTTTTTTTAAATCACAAAACAAAAAAATTCCCCTGAGCTCACCTTGTCTTTCTCTGTCGCTCTCACGTCTTCTCTTCTGGAGAAATCCAAACCAAACAGTGTTTAACAGATTAGACTAAATATTTTACTTCTATTACTGATAATAAAATATCCAACAGAACCTGCTTTTAAAATATGAATGAAACGTAACTTGGTTATTTGAGACATTTGATGGATATTAATCTCAAGTATTATGTAAATACATATGCATATCTCATTATTTATACAGCTGTATATAGAGAAATCAATGCACAAATCTGTACATAAATCTTCTGTTCCAGATTCATACACATTATTACTATTTATTGTTAAGTCTTACTGTTTAAATGTTTTGTGTTCTCATGTCAGGTATGTATGTATGTACCAAGTAGTGGTCGACCGATATATCGGCCGATATTTGGCATTTTGCAAATATCGGCATCGGCCGATACGTTTTTCTGCTTGGCCGATGTGTTCAAGGCGGGACTTTTATTTTGACGGCGCTGAGACCGGCAGCGCTTGAGCACACAGTGCTCACATTCTCCCTCGTTTACGGTCGTTGTTATCAGTTCTCTGTCTAATACGGATAGAAGTCTGTCTAATAATCCGATAGAACGGTTAAACAAAGTAATGAATGTATACAAAAAGTATTATGATGATTGCTTTTATATTATTAGTAATAGAAAGGCAAACATTATAATACTTTCTCGTTTGCCGTCAGCATTAAGCAAATACGCATTTACATCATTTAAACAAATCTTTGAATGACTAATGAACATCTAATTTCACAAACCTTGCAAACTTAGTCAAATCCAGTTGTGAGATCTTGTGAAGTGTGCATTTTTATCCAGCATGATCGCGTGTTCTCTGTGTGACGGTCGGTCCGTGTGAATTGAATACTTTAAACTTTAAACTCGTGATTTCAAATTATGCTGCGTTTTATGCATTTGCCCACTGTCTTATTCATGTCATTTTCACTGTGTGCTGTATGTAAAGTGAGTGTTACCTTGGCTTTATTTGAAAAATATGATTCCCAATGCACACAAACTTCCCAGAATACTGAGTGCCCTGTTGGTTACAGTGTTTACTTCCTTTTTAATTATATTTTTATTAAATATTTATTTGTGAAAAATACTTTGTCATCTAAAGTATAAGTATGTTTATTTTACACATTTATTTTTTAATCCATTGTCAAATGATTTCAAATTTCTGAAATATTAATTAAAATTAAAAACAAATTATATCGGCTTTATATCGGCTATCGGCCACCCTGCTTTCCAAGATATCGGCATCGGCTGTCAAAAAACCAATATCGGTCGACCACTAGTACCAAGAGCACCTTAAAAACCACAACAAATTCCTTGTGTGTCTGCGCACACTTGGCGAATGAAGCTAATTCTGATATTAGAATTAGGGATTGATAGAAGAATAAATCATTCGTACCTGATCGTGCCTCTAAACCTGTCTTTTAGCGGTGTCGACCCCACATATAAGATGTGGACTTTAGCAAATCGTGGGTTGATACTCGTCACCTGCAAAGGAAACAATCATAGATTTATTACACAGAAAAATGTAACAAAACATCACGCAGTAAATGGCAAAAAAAGATCAGAAGGATTTAGATATGATATGACCATAGCATTAAGCACCAATGATGTGATGTTTTGTACTGAACGCTCACCTTACAGGTGACAATGGCACCAACGTCAGGCAAAAGCTGTGCTTCTGTCTCCCTAACGACTGAAATCACCGGGAGCTATAAAGAATAAAATGTCACTATTGGATTACCAAGAAGCATGGGTGTTTAAGTCTTACAAATGAATAAAACTGTTGTGTTCAAATGACAGAATGTCCATGAAAGTGACTGTGCGATACATGAACTGACCTCCTCTCCCTCGTTCTTTCTCAGCACGTATCCCGCGAGCGAAGCGAAGATGTAGCCGTGCCGCAGATACGTGCCGGTGCCGGGGATACAGTCCTCCGTGCTGCAGAGCCTTTCACCTGTGTGAACAACAGCAGACGAACCAAGCCACATCAAACTGTTTGTAAAAACACACAAATCATGTACAGCAGGGATCACCAGACTCGGTTCTGGAGGGCCGGTGTCCTGCAGAGTTTAGCTCCAACCCTAATTAAACACACCTGAACCAGCTAATCAAGCTCTTACTAGGTATACAGGCAGGTATGTTGAGGCAAGTTGGAGCTAAACTCTGCAGGACACCGGCCCTCCAGGATCAAGTTTGGTGACCCCTGATGTACAGTAATGCACACTCAATGGAAGTATATAGGACAGGAATAAACGTAAAAATATAGTTTAATCACAAGACAAGATCATTAAAGTTCATTTCTGCCATGCATGAATGCATATAATGAAGGTAACTGAGACTTTTCAATCTGACAATTCTGATTTTTCTCTCTCAATTGCGAGTTTACATTTCACAATTTAGATTTTTTTCCCCCTCTGAATTCCGGGTTTATATCTCGCAATTTTTTTCTGCCACAGAATAAAAACAATTAATTGCATGTAAACAAATCAAATATTATTTTTTAGAAAAGGTTTTATTTTGATTGTTGTTATTTTAAAATGATTTTAATTTTGCGTGTTTATAATTTACTTAATTATTATATTTTCATTAAACTTACGAACGAACCCCAGTTAAGGAAACCTTTATGTAATGTTTAATGTACGTCATTATGTTAACAACAAATGTAACATTTTCTTTCTTATTGCGTTTTTATATCAATATGGTACAAGATTATCCTATTTAGATCAATATGATAAACAAGTTAGGTCAAAAGTAATCTAAAAGTAGTCTGATTACATTACCTAAAATGTGTAATGTAATGGATTATGTTACTAACTACAATTTCTGTCATGTAATTTGGAATCAGTAACGGATTACACTTTTCAAGTAATCTACCCATCTCTGGTGATAGTGTGTTTACATACTCTAATATGATGTTAATTTGAATATTTATTTACAAAATGCAACTCACAGAGTCGCGTCGTCAAAACATAAGAGGAAGTTTATATGCTAAGAAAATTTGTCCCACGGCTAAAAAGACCATTTTGCCCCAAATATCATATAAAACACACACTACTGTACATGAGAAATTAATTAAAAAAAATATTTACAAAAATGCAAAAAAAAAAAATTTTTTTTTAATTAAACCGGATTTCGGTGACTTAATGTAAATGAGGTTTCCAGGGCAATCTATGTGATCAAAACAGCTGGAGTCGTTCATCAGCTGCGGGTTCGTGTAGAGGCACATAGGGGAGTGTTTAGGGCAGGTATGCATGACAGCAGCGCTCGCGCCCCGGGCGGTGGGCAGGGCTCGCCAAACGAGTCTTTAAACCCTGCAAACACCTCCAAAACTACTCACTCACTCACAGAATATCACATATACGCGATTATATCAAGCAAGTCAATCAACATCAGCTGTTTTTGCCATATGTTGACCGAAATCGAACATATTTATGGGTTTACAACGCCATAATAGTGCTGCGCGTGCGGATGATTCAGCCCTACAGCAACACACGTGAACGCTATAGAGGAATCAAACTGCTCACAACTTTTACTAACCACTTCAAAGTTCATAAAATATCAGTCTGTGCATAAACAAAGAACATATAGCCAAGCCCTGCAACGATTATGTCGATAAGCCCAAAAGGACACGCAGATAGCATGTTAATAACAGCGACCCACCTGGAACACACAGCTTCATGGGCGACATGTTTTCAAGAAGAGACAGCCGCGTTTTCATTGGCTATTAGTCAGAGGGCAACTCGCGTTCTGATTGGTCACTTCATAATACGCGGTTTGAGTACACCGCCATATTTGTTGTGGCTGCAAATGTAAATATTACTCTGGGAGTCATGTTGAATGGAAAAGGTTTGGACGTTTTGTTTCTTGTAGCACCTTTCTTGTATATTTCTAAGCATATATTATTATAAAAAAATAAAAAAAAAGAGTTCAGGAGACATGAAAAAATACACTGCCGTTCAATGGATCTGTAAGATTTGTGTTTTTCAAAGAAGTCTCTTCTGCTCACCAAGGCTGCATTACTTTGATCAAAAATACAGTAAATAAACTGTAATATTGTGAAATATTATTGCAATTTAAAATAGTGGTTTTCTATTTTAATATACTTTAAAATGTCATTTATTTCTGTGATGCAATGCTGAATTTTCAGCATCATTACTCCAGGCTTCAGTGTCACATGATCCTTCAGAAATGTTGGAAACAGTTGTGATGCTTTTTATGTTTTTTGGAACCTGTGATGCATTTTTCAGGATTCTTTGATTAATAAAATTTTAAAAGAACAGCATTTATTTAAAACAGAAATCTTTTGTATATTCATGTTTTTAAATATTTATTGTGACAGATATTTTTATCTTTAGGAATCAGAAGAAAATATTCACAGCGTGCAACTTTTTTTCTGCTTAAGTAAGCCGACATTTATTAGGGATTGCACATCTCATAACTTCTCATAACGTCTTTCAGTCAAGCAAAATAATTTTAATGTGCTGTACAAGCGAAATGTACAAGAACAGAGACAAAATGCTATAATTCATTTTCTGGGACAACAATATTCAGTATTTCCTTAATAGCGAATGTTTGCAGGATACTTGGGTCAAAATGCATTGAACAAGACATGTACTACAGTAAAAAAACACCAACATACAGTGACATTTACCACAGAAAAAGTGAGAAGAAAATGACCATAAACATATGCAAAAAGCCCACAGGAATATAATCTGCTTTTAATCACCAAACAAACTCCCTTCTCCACTCTAGATGTAGGTGAATCCTAAAAACAAACCGTAACACACATCTTTTCAGTGACTTCAAAGTGTGGGATGATTCAAGAGCATTTGTGTGGGTGTTTAGAGATATAGAGCAGCGGTGCAAAGCATGAATCACACAAAGACGGGGAATCGCAGCACTTCTGCAGCCCACATGGCCATTAATATATGCTGTTGCCTGGCAACAGTGGTCAAAGCATGCCATCACAGACAAACACATGTGCCATCTTTTGAAATGTGCGACCGTGGATCTTCAGTGCCGAGACTATGTAAAGCTAAAATCCCTCCCTGTGGCTCAGGTTCACTGCATTTACACTCATACCCAAGCAGTTTCAATTGAATTTTATTATAAGGATGGTCCCGATTCAGAGCATTAGGAAATGAATGATTGGTCAGTGGTTTGGTTCTAGGCTCATGGTCAAACACTGATTGCGTTTTTGAGGAGGATTGTGTGAATTGAGGTCTACTTCTTGGCTTTGCCCTGAGCGGCGACGGCCTCCATGGCTTTGCGGACCGTCTCTTCATCCCCCAGGAACTGCATGGGCTTCACGGGCTTCAGGTTCTTGTCCAGCTCATAAAGGATGGGGATTCCTGTGGGCAGATTCAGCTCCATAATCGCCTCCTCTGACATACCTGGAGCAAACAAACGGGTTATAATCAGCACAATCAAATAGATGCAAATATAAAGCATTATGGATGGTTGCCAGGACATTGTTATACATTTGCTAAGATGTCTTGAAAAACTGCTACCCTTACTCTGGATGTTATTAAGAGCCAGTGAAAATCATGCATCATGTAGGGCCCTGTGAATTCCATGACGTGGAAAATGCAGATGGAGTTGCGGAATTCAGTGATAAAAATGGATTTTCAGTATAACTCGGAATGTCACAGAATTTTGGATGAGTAACTCCAAGACAGAAGGGTTAGAAGGTACTCCTTCAAGTAATAATAAAAATAATAAATTATAACATTAATAAAATTAAAACTGAAACATTTTTTAAGGAACATCACACAATTGTAAACCTGTTATGCAGCACTTTGTTTGCCAAAAAATAAAATTAATTGGTATATTTTCATTTGATTACATTTTAAAAGATAAATTAAACTGTTAATGTTTTATGCCTTCCCTTGACTACCACCATTTTTGATAATAAAATTGTATTTAATCATAAATTCCGAATAATTAAAAGAAAGAATTTCTGAAAAAATAAAACTTTCCATAGGACCCTATTATTGTAAAAAAATTAAAATAAATATATTGTTATTAATTACAAATATTTTTTGGTTATTAAGATTGAAGTAAACAATTAAAACAGAATTTTTAACAAAATTAAAATGAAAAACAGAATTTTGGTTAAAAGTAAATAGAATTTGGGGTGGGGGGGTTGGGGGGAGGATCAAAATGATTTAACGGGTCCCTAAAAATTAAATTTTTGCTACAATTTTGATAAATTTATGTTAAATGACATTTAATTTTCTTTTATAAATTAGACATGCTGTTTAAACTTAATTCATTAAACCTTTAATAAATCATTGTTCAATTGTAAAAAAAAAATTTACATTTTAATTAATTAGACATACGTTTGATTACAAAAATTCAATTTAACCATTAAATCCAGAAAATTAAAATGGGAAAAAATTAAAACTAATTTCACAAGGCCCTAAAAATTTTGTTAAACACAACTGTTGTTAAATGTATACATTTCAGGATTATAATTAATTAGACATGCTTTTTGATTGTTAACATTTAATTTAACCATTAAAACAGGATCCAGATTTCATAGGGTCCTATGGATTAAGAGACCTCTTGGGCTCGTTCTGGGTGGTTTTAGGGTGTAATTATATACTGTATGGTGTAACATCAGGTTCTGGGCTTCAGGTTTCTCACCCTCCAGGTGTTTGACGATTCCTCGCAGGCTGTTGCCGTGAGCGGCGATGAGGACCCTCTTGCCCTCCTTGATCTGAGGAACGATTTCCTCATTCCAGAACGGCAGCGCTCGAGCGATAGTGTCCTTCAAGCTCTCGCACGAGGGCAGCTGGTCCTCTGTCAGGTCGCCGTAGCGACGGTCCTGCAGCAACATCACATTCAGTGTCATGTGACCCTTCAGAGATCAATCTAACATGCTGTGTTGTAGCAATATGCTTCTGTATTCTTTCTGGGCGAAGAACTGACTTGGGTCATTTGATCAATTGACTGTGTGGCTAGGAACTATACTCTCATTCCAGCGCAATAATCAAGGAACTTTGCTGCCGTATTCGAAAACGGTAAAACTCAACTGTTTAACTCTAGGGGAGTTGAAAAATGAGCCTATTTTCAAAAATAGTGGAGTGTTCCTTTAAAGGTGCTTAAAGGCAGTCCAATAATAAACAGAGCAAACCATTACAAAATAAACATGGGGGGTGTTTAACCAATATACATATAAATCTAAACATATTAAAATAATATCTACTCGAGCACTTCAATGTTAAATTGTATTTATTTAAATTATGGCTCTTGCATGCTGAATCGACACATTTCTGGTGGTCGTCAGTGTCCTGCTCACCTTGCTGATGGCGGAGTAGAAGTCGTGCTCGGGGTCCATGGGTGGTGGTGGGGTGTCGTAGGAGCGTCTCCAGATCTTCACCTGCGCCTCGCCGTGTTTGGCCGCTGTCTCGGCTTTGTTGAGGCCCGTCAGGCCGCCGTAGTGGCGCTCGTTCAGACGCCAGGTGCGATGCACGGGCAGCCACATCTGATCGATGCTGTCCAGCACCAGCCACAGGGTCCTGATGGCACGCTTCAGCACAGACGTGTAGCAGATGTCAAACTCATAACCCGCATCTACGGGAGAGGAAAAACAGCATTTGCATCATTCTGCACATTGCATGTGACCTACCCTTCAAAGGTCTGGGGTCAGTAAGATTGTGGTTTGTGAGCATCGGCAGCTAATGAAGCGCATCTAGAACTAGTGGACCAATGGTGATGCTTAAATCCGCCCTGATTTACATGAAACTAACCGCAACATTTGCAAAAGCAAGCACAGAACGTGGAAACAAGAGTGAAGGGAAAGCAGCATAAGCATATAAAAATAATGAGCAGAAACTGTCTGAGCACAAAAAACAGAGAAATATAACCAAGGAAAACATGATTTTGTGTGCAAGTTGGATAATTTTGCATGAATATTTCAGTTTTGTGCAACATGATTTTAAATGTGTTTAAAGTTTTGATTCATGCTTATTATTTTTTTTAATGCGTTATTACATTTTTGATTTACGCTCATTATTTTACGATCGGCGACCATTGTTTGCTATTCTGAAAACTTTGCTTTCATTTTTGAATTTTGTGCAGTATATTTTTACTTCAGTTTTTAATTTTTGGTTTCACGCTTTTTATTATAATTTTTTTTGTATCTGTGACTAATACTTTTGGCGGGAATTGCATCCCATAGGACCTGGTAAATAATTATCTTTAAAAAAGCATCATATGACCCCTTTAAGACAAGCACTCAACATTCATGCAACCACCAAGCAACGCCCTGACAACCAAATATTTGTCCAGCAAAAAGTGCAACAATTATAAATATGATTATAATTTAATGCATATTATAATTATTGTTATAGTTGCATATACATAAAATAAAATGGATTTTTCATTTTATATAATTTTAAAAATACTGTTTTTTGTTTTGTTTTTAAAGTAGAAGAATATTGTTAAATATGGTACTGACAGATAAGGGAAGCAACATCCTTTTCCTCTTTTTGGTTTCCCCCTCCATAGTGACAATTTAGAAGATATTATATTATCAAAAAGCAGACATATAAAAATCAATTACTGAACTCAATGTCATAATGTCGTATTTTTAAACAATCTTATCATGACTTCTGTTATAGTTGAAGTTTTTTTTTTTTTTACGCTTTGGCAAGCTAAAATTCTTGCATTACAGTTGCTGAAGAGTAGATGAGGAAGAGCAGCATATCCTGCGGGTTTGCCAACCGCCAATAAAACACCAAAGAAGAAGAAGAAGAAGAAGCATATCCTGCGTTACTGTAACAGTAACAACATGAGAGGAGCTGCTGCTGCAGTGCGCTGATCTCATATCCTGCGGGTTTGCCAACCGCCAATAAAACACCAAAGAAGAAGAAGAAGAAGAAGAAGAAGAAGAAGAAGCATATCCTGCGTTACTGTAACAGTAACAACATGAGAGGTGCTGCTGCTGCAGTGCGCTGATCTCCGCAGGCCCCACACAAACACAAGACCGGTTTAATAAACGGACTCCGCTCACCTTTCAGGGCCTGGCCGCCCCTCTTGGCCTCCTCGGCTCCGGTTTCGCTCAGATCGGCGTCGAACCAGCCGCAGAAGCGGTTCTCCTGGTTCCAGCAGCTCTCTCCGTGGCGGATCAGCACCAGCTTATAGGCGGCCATCACGCGAGCTCTTGGAAACACAGCGGGGATGTTGGCGGGTAACGGAGGAGACGGATGAAAGATGCAAACACGGTAAACGGGATTATCGCTCCGGTGAGTTTGGAGGTCGTCGCTTGTTAAAGGAGGACAGCGCGAGAACACAACGCTTTCTGAAGCACGAGACCAATCAGAGGGAAGAGTGCGCGCGTATACGACGCCCCTACGCTGTTTATCATCATAACACACTGTCATAAGTGTAAAAGAAGAAATTAATAGTTTTACAGCTGGTTGGAAGCGCAATATTTAAATATTTTTACGGTATACATATTTATACATAAATAATATAATATTATTATTATTGTGGAAGTTCGAAACATTTTACTTTTTCACTTTAAACGTTATATATGATTTTAATTTAAATAATGTAGTGTAGGGATTTTTCTTTAAAATACGAAAATTTAAAAGGCAGATATACATTTTCATTGTATAAACCCAATTTATACAGTAAAAATAATATCATGAGTAAAATACTATTTGGAAAATATTTAGTTTCTATTATTTTAAATATTTTTTTTTTCACGTTGTGTTTTTTAATGGTTTGTTATGTTCACTATAGACGTGTATTTTTAGATGTAGTATTTATTTAAATCATGTTTTATTATCTATTTAATTATTTTAATCAATTTATGTAGTTTATTCATAGTTTTATTATTTGTTTTAACATTTTTACACTGTCTTTAACTAAACATTTTCACAGACCCTTTTTCATCCCCTTTAATGTGGTATTATTGTATAAATGTGGTATTATTTAAAAAAATTAAATAAACCACAGGCTGTGTTTGAAATACTTTATTCAAAGACCTACAGATTAGTTGATTAGCTGAGAGATGGGTACATGAAGGGTCATATACATAAATATATAAGCAAAGGTTTTATACATAACATTAGTAGCCATAATTATTATTAATTATTTTTGCAAATATTTGATTATATATATATATATATATATTCAGACACCATTTTTTATATTTTTTTACTAGTGGGTTCAGGACACTATAGTTTGTTTATGTAAGTGAGGATAGCAAAATAAAGTAAACTCTGATATATTATACCCAAAAATTCTTCATACAGTGAACTACCAGTAAAATGGATCAAAATCTGGGACCAAAAATGATCAGACATTTGACCTGACCATGTTTTGCTTAAGTGTTTTTCTTTTAAGTGCTAATGCAACCTTTTTACACCACAGACTAAACCAATTTAAGCATTTCTTGGTAATTGGTTGACCTAAATTGGTATTATCTAATTGTGTACATAAATACAGCAATTCAGCCGAATTCGTTTCATATCTTTCTATCAAAGTTATCTGACATTATCATGATGAATTTGTTCTGACACAGTTTAACTCTGAGTTAAACTACTCTAGTTAGTTCTTGTTATATTTCATTACAATTTTCTAAACTATAGCGAACAAACTGTGATAATGTGAGAAATGTTGAAGGTGTCTGAATAAATTTTGGTTTGACTGTATATGTACAGTATATATGTATATGTGTGTGTGTGTGTGTATATAGTATTTAGCGTGTGGTTCTCTGATGTACTCTGATTGTTGGCCGTCATCTTTGCTGCCGTGTTGGCCGTTTCCTGCGGTATCCATGCAGCTGATCCCGGTACTCGCGGTGGCGCATGGGCACGTAACCGCAGGGATCACACAGATCCTGAGACACAGAGACACCTGACTGAGCTGCTGCAGCATACTGTGGTGAAGACAGTCAGATAGTGTGTGGTACTGTACCGGGTAAGAGGCATGGAAGTGTTTGTAACCCCCCAGCAGCAAGTAGAGCTCCGGATAGTGCAGGCTGGGATACACATTGGCCTGTCTGTCCAGCCTCCTCAGATACTGACACCTGTGGATCGGGCAAGAAGCCTGTGTCATCATAAATGCACTCAGTGTGTGTGTGTGTATGTGTGTGTGCTTGTTTATGCTACATTGTGGGGGATAGTAAAACCTGAAATTTTTGACATTGTGGGGAACGGCCTGCGGTCCCCACGAGGGAAAAAATGATTAAAAATAGTAAATTATGTTTATCTGAAAGTGTAACGATGCAAACAGGTTTTCTGTAAGAGGTAGGTTTAGGGTTAGGGGATAGAAAACATTGTTTGGTCAGTATAAAAGTAATAGAAGTCTATGGAAAGTCCCCACAATTCACAGAAACAAACGTGTGTGTGTGTGTGTGTCTGTCTGTGTGTGTGTGTGTGTCTGTCTGTGTGTGTGTGTGTGTCTGTCTGTGTGTGTGTGTGTGTCTGTCTGTGTGTGTGTGTGTGTCTGTCTGTGTGTGTGTGTGTGTCTGTCTGTGTGTGTGTGTGTGTCTGTCTGTGTGTGTGTGTGTGTCTGTCTGTGTGTGTGTGTGTGTCTGTCTGTGTGTGTGTGTGTGTCTGTCTGTGTGTGTGTGTGTGTCTGTCTGTGTGTGTGTGTGTGTCTGTCTGTGTGTGTGTGTGTGTGTGTGAGTGTGTGTGTGAGTGTGTGTAATGTGTTTCTCACAGATGTGGGCCTCTTTCCGATGAGAACTCGCAGTGGAAGATGATCAGTTTCCGTGGCGACGACCCCTCCTCCTCTGGGAGTGAGTCAGACAGACGTCCCTTCATCCTCATCCTCCAGGACGAGGCGTTTCGAGGCGAAAGTTGGGCTCCCGCTGAGGCCTGATGCACCACCTGCTGGATCTGAGACTCAGTGTACAGATTCACTGCTCCCTGAATGAGGTAAAGGTTAAGATATGAAGACCAAATGCCCTGCTGATGGATTCAATGTGACATTAATATAGAAATATTACAGTCACTTTAGATCTATTTAATGCATTTTATTAAAAATATTAAGTTTGGAGTCAGTCGATACTGTTATTGAGCGAGGATGCGTGAAATGGATCTAAAGTGACAGTAAAGGCATTTATAATGTTACAAAAGATTTCTCTTTCAAATACTGTAAATGCTGTTCTTTTGAATGTTATATTCATCAAAGAATCCTGAAAAAATAAATGTATCACACTCTTCACAAAATATGAAGCAGCACAACTGTTTTTCAACACTGATAATAATCAGAAATGTTTCTTTAGCAGCAAATCAGCGTATTAGAATGATTTCTGTTGAGTCTGGACCTTGGTTTGAAAGACCTCATCACATTAAAACATTCATAATTTAAGATTTATGTACCTTAATGTGTCCTCCTTGGTATTCGTATGGGTAACGGCAGTCAACGATGAGGAAATCCTCGACTGCAGGACCAAACTGACCTCTGATCAGTGACGCCACCTTCAGTTCAGGAGCAGACAACAGTTTTACCTCAACATCTCATCAATGAGACACACGTCATTAAAATAAACCCATAAAATAATTGTGTAAAGAACTTATGCATCTGTCTCAGCTGCTTTGAGGTTAAAAGGACATTTAATATGAGATGGCATTCAAATGGGACTCTTTTACCATTCCACATTGCAAAGAACATCACGTTATTATCAGAGCTTTCTGATCCACTTTAGCTTAGAAAATGTTCATGATCACTTACAGTGTGAGCGCTGACACAGTGAAGCTCCTGATGGCCGCCACTCTCAACAGGAAGCAGGTGTTGCTATGGAAACCATTTGAATCAAGACTGAAATAATGAATTTACTATGATTTCTATAAACACTTTCAGAACCAACTTCAGACTCATATCACCTTTTAATCTCTTTTGTAAGTGGCTTTGGATAAAAGCGTCTGCTAGATGCATAAATGTACGTTAATCTAAAAACACAAACCAGCTGAGAAGGCATGAAAATTAGTACTATATTAGTACTATACTAATATACTATACTGTACTATATAGTAGTATATTAGTATCCGCATTCAAAAGTTTGGGGTCAGTCTGCTGCATTTATTTCATTAAAATACAATAAAAACAGTAATATTGTGAAATATTATTACAATTTATAATAAGTTTTCTACGTGGAGATATTGTAGAATGTAATTTATTCCTGTGATGCAAAGGTGTATTTTCAGCATCATTACTCCAGTCTTCAGTGTCACATGATTCTTCAGAAATCATTCTAATATGCTGATATGCTCCTCAAGAAACATTTCTGATTATTATCAATGTTGAAAACAGGTGCTGATTAATATTTTTGTGGCAACTGTGATACACTTTTCAGAATCCTTTGATGAATATAAAGTTCAAAAGAGCAGCACTTATTTGGAATGCAAATCTTTTGTAACATTATAAACATCTTTACTGTCCCTTTTGATCAATTTAAGAACTGTCGTCTGAATAAAAGTATTAATTTCTTTAAAAAGTGCAGAATGCAAAGTCATATTCAGTCAAAAAAAGGCTTTTCATGGTTAAATTTATGAATAAACTTCGCGTTTGTCTTGTTTAATATCATATTGTTTCATTTTGGTTTTGCAGAACCAACCTTACTGAAGTCTCCTATGAGAGTGAGGTCAGTGACGGCGTCCTGAGTGATGTGTGTGGGCGGGGCTTTCCTCTGTGACCTCAGCTGACTGAACCTCGCAGCGGCCTGCAGACGAGCAGAGAGTGAAAACACACAGTAACACAAGCATCTTCCACCTCAGGCTCAGACACTGCTTGTGCATTTATCCTCACCACCGGGTTGACCGCACTCGTCTCTCGTGGGAGACTGGCATCCTCTTCTGGGTCACTGCGGTGCTGTCTCCATGTTCGGCCCGGTTCGGCTTCATCTGCAGCGGAGAATCTACTGGAGAGCCGCACACGCAGTCTCTTCTGCTGGATGAATGTCGAGGCCAGCATTGTGAATGAATGCAGCCGCAGTGAAACACAGCCTTTATGAGCATGACCCAGTGTACAAAACAATACAGTGCAATATACCATGTCAACATCACACCAAGCAGTGATAGGCAGTAACTAGTTAGTAATCCATTACAGTAATACAAGTACTTTCCCTGGTAACTAGTACTCTAATTAACTAATAATAAAATGTAAGTAATAATATTACAGTCACCATCCAAAAAAAAAAAAACAGCTAGATACTAGTTACTTTTTTGTCACAGTTGCTTATGATTTGAAATTCAAAAATACAATCATCCCTCATAATCGTTGCCAAAGCAGCAAGCTATAGCTTCGTCATATAGCGGCTGGAAATACAGCCATTATTATAATTTTGTAGGGAGAAAGGATGTCACATGTAAACTGTGCAGTGGTACTAAGACTTTGTCTACTGC